AAAAACAACCCAAAATAAACCGCAGAAAAAACAAACTAGAACGAATTGAGGGGAAAAAACACAAACCACAAAACGCCACGGCAATTTCATTTTCGGCAAAATGCCACTTGCCACTTGAGGCAATTTACCATTTTAGGATTTTACCATTCTAACATTTACGCCCACACTTCCGTTCATTCGTCCGTCCGTATTGGCCAATCAATAAATCTAATGCAAATTTCTTCGCCTCGGCCTGTCAACAAATCGAACGACACTTGGCGAAAATCTGAAGTCAGGGGGGCTTGAAAAAGTGTGAAGTGTTTTGTCCTTTAAGTGAAATCTTATCTTCGACAGGATATAATTTATTGATAGGGCAAGCGACTAAGCAGGATTTTGTTACCAAAAGACACTGCCACCAAAAATGTTTCTAGTCAATTGCAGTTCTTAAAAGAAAAACCTTCTTAATAGCATATATACTGTACTTTATAATTTAATCCCAGTTCCTTCCCCCTTAAAAACTCGTTTATGAATTTCACGCACTTTACTGGCCAATTCGGGACAGTGCACGACCATGTCCTTGCCCATGTCCATGTCCTGGCCCTCCGGCTTAGCGTGCAATTCAATTAAAGTTGCATAAGGCCATCGGACAATGGCTCCTCCGCGTTCTCCGGTCTTGGCCAAGTGAAATGTTCACTTTGATTTACCTCCCTCCTTCCATCCCCTTTTTTGAACAATCTGCCGCCCAGTTTTGTGACAAGAATGAATGAACAATGGCTTCGGTGTCCTTGGCAGCTTGGGGCCAAAACATTGGGATGAAAATTAACGATTGGGGGACGAAGAGAGAAAGAGAGATGCGAGGTCTTTGCGCCAGCACTGAAGGTTGAGAGCGAGCACACATATTAAATTACCAAGTGGCAAGTCAATTGGCATATGTCAGCGTGCCACACAGAAGCATGCATCCGGCACTCAGACACAGAGACAGAGAGAGAGAGAGAGAGTTGCCAAGTTAAATGAAGTCAGAAATGTAAATTTCATTTGCCAGTTGAAGATGAAGAATTTTCCAACCACCACACAGCCTTCCGTCTCGCTGTTAGCGGGGGAAACCCAAACCCAAAAAGGACGCAATTAGAAGACGGTGTGGGCGTGGCTGTTGGCGTTGCCAAATTACAGTTACCAGCTGTTGCGCCAAAGTCAGAGGATTTTGTCTACGGTTCTCCCAAAGAAAAGCCCAGAAACCAAGAAACCTCAAATACACACACCCACCACCCCCTCAAACCATTTCCGCTAGCAACATGTGTTTCCATTTTCCACAAGCACCTAGAAAACTTATAGGTTTTTGGCAACTGAATCGATAGAGAAAAGAAGCTAGATAGGCTAAGAAGATACCTGATCTATCTATATAATATATGAAAGTCTGAAAAGGAAAAAATGATTATTAAAATGAAAAGAAGATTTGATTTAGTTTGAATTAAAGTTAAGCTGACTAACAGAGTGTGTAACTTATATAGTTTATCCTGAATTCTATATACCCTTAAAGGCCAAACTATATACGAGGTGTGTTCAAAAAGTAAGGTGACTTTTCAAATTTCGCGGGCAACATATTTTCGATTATCGTTTTTTTTGTTTTGTTATATTGGTACACTCTTCCCTAACATCTGTACCAAGTTTCAATGGAACATCCTCTTTTGTTTGGTTGTGAGAGGCGTAAAGTTACAAGTTATTTTGCGAGCTCGGCGATTTTTTGCTTTTTTCGGTCTTGGCTCGCCTGGGCTCTTCCATTGGGACGATTGGGCTTTGGTTTCGATATCATAACCATATACCCATGATTCGTCACCAGTTATGACCCTTTTGAGTAAATCTGGGTCGTCGTTGACGTCATTCAACAGCTCTTGAGCGATGCTCATGCGACGGTTCTTTTGGTCAAAATTCAGCAATTTCGGAACAAACTTCGCTGACACACGACTCATACCCAAAACGTTTGAAAAAATTTCATGGCACGAGCCAAGCGATATACCGACATCTTCAGCAACTTCTCTGATAGTGATTCGACGATTTTCCAAAACAATTTTCGTCACTGCTTGAACGTTTTCATCAGTTGTTGACGTGCTTGGGCGTCCAGAGCGAGGCTGGTCATTGGCATCTTCCCGGCCATCTTGGAAGAGTTTGTACCACTTGTACACATTTTTTTTACTCAGAACAGTTTCACCGTATGCCACTGTCAACATTTCAAGTGTTTCAGAGCACTTAATTTTATTTTTTACACAAAATTTGATGCAAATCCTTTGATCCATATTTTTCGATAGCAAAAAATCGCCGAGCTCGCAAAATAACTTGTAACTTTACGCCTCTCACAACCAAACAAAAGAGGATGTTCCATTGAAACTTGGTACAGATGTTAGGGAAGAGTGTACCAATATAACAAAACAAAAAAAACGATAATCGAAAATATGTTGCCCGCGAAATTTGAAAAGTCACCTTACTTTTTGAACACACCTCGTATATACAACCATAGATCTTATCCGATAAGAAACGCCTACCCATCACATACCTTATAAGAAACACAGTACTCCCTTGTACCGGGTATAAAAATAGGAACCAAAATGAATTTGTTGTTGGAGAAAATCTGGTAAAACGCATTTTGCGGGAAATGGCAGCAGCAAAGTAAATGACAAAAGACATAATTTCATAATTAAGTGCACAGTGGCGGGGGGGGGAAAAGCGAGCAGCTATCGACAGACAGGGAGAAAAGAAAATTTCCTTTGTTTTGTGGGCCATTAGCAAGTGGACTAATGATCTACCGAAACCGGCGAGCTTCTGGCTCGGCTCGTAATTAATGACAAACGCAAAAGGGGGATGGGGTCGGCTGGTGGGCGATGGGAAACTTTCCCGGCAAACACTGGGAAATGAGGCAATTTCCCCCGAAAACTCAGAACTTCGAGGAAAGCAATGGCAATGGCAATGGCAATGGCAATGGCGAGTTCATTCTTCAGTCTGTCAAATGGAGATTCCGTAATTGTCTACGGGTTTTCGGGTTTACGGATTACACGGGGTCGGGTGGTCAGCGGGGGGGGGTTTTGTGTTTCCAATTGGGCGAATGATATATGCATGGCCCAAGAGCTATAAATCTGTATATCTGTTCAGATATGGCATTTTAATTACAAGCAACTGCAAGTCCATTACCTCAAAGGGATTGTAAATGGATGGCAGGTGATCTGGTTACTTAATCATTACGTTTAAGGTTGGGCTTTTCTCAAACTCATGGAAACTTTTCCAAGAATTTAAATTTAAATAATCCACAGAGTTGATTAAATAAGTCTGCTATGGTAACCTACTCAACCGTAGCGTATGCGATCAACTTGCATGTGCCATGTGATTGCTGCACATTTAACTCCGTGGAAAACCCCCCGGAAAATCCATCTAACATGTGTTCTATTCGCCGCTCAATCAAGTTGTTTGGCGGGAAAACTGCTGTTGCTTTTGGCGTCGGCTTTTACATCGTTTTTTTTTTTTTTAAATGTTTTTTTCTGGGTGTGTTACTTTTTTTTTTTGTTTTAGCCAATTCTGCATTTCGTCCCATTGGAAAATAGATTCATGTGGGTGGAAAAGTGGAAGGGTGGATGGCGTGGGGGAGACTGGTACGAGTACGATATCGTGGCAGCTGCGTCATTTTGGCATTTGGCAATAAGCAAATAAATAAATAAATCATTTGTGTGCATAGCCAGCGATATATATCGCCAGATATGGCCAGGAATTGATATGGTACGTCCCCGTATGCCATCATACTGAGTGGATGTACGGCACTCGAAAGTGGCGTAGGAGGAGGAAATGGAACTTGACTGCGTTGACAGGCCGGCGGCGCCAAGTCGGCTGAGCGGTTGTCTGACCCACCAACTCATTCCTCAATATATGGCACACATGGCGTATGCTCGATATGCCTCCTCAACGATTATGAATATGTTTTTCCAGGGATGAGGCACGAGGCAGGAAGTTAGTTTGGAGTACACACACACTACACTAAGCATATTTCATATCGCTGGCACTTTTATGACTCACAAACACCACCACCCCCACACATATCTCCGTCAAAACACTATTTTTAGGCATTTAACAAAAAGCCAAGAGAATTCCCATTTGTAATTCACAAAAAAAATAAGAAAAAACTAAAGAAAAACCGTAAGAATATAGCAGGAAAATCGTATTTTTAAAAGCAATTTGGCTAGTGGCATCAGGCAATGGCTTTTATTTTCCCTTCCCACCCCGTGGACTTCTTTATATAGATATATATAAAGAACCGAATTCGCCTCTGTTTCTTCTTCATCGTCGTCGTCGTCGTCGTCGTCGCCTTTCAAGTGTCCATCAACATGTTTGACAAGTGCGCTGATTTGGCCATCTCCACCCCCAAGGTATCCCTTGGCCCACCCAGAATTGTCTGTGTGAGTCATTATTTGGCCATGCTTGCAATTTCCGCTGCTGCCCAGCCATCTTTCCCCTTCCATTGCCGATTTCCCCCCACCCGGAAGTTGTTAGTCAAGCCGGGCCAGGGCCATGTTGTTTTACCCTGCCCTTCTTTTTTCTTCTCCTCCTGCTCCTGCAACCCTAATGAATAATGCAACAGTCTCTCTCTCTCTCTCTCTCTCTGGGGGGCGCTGAAGTGATGTAGCAGGTAACCCGAAAAAATAAGGTTGCGAAAAGCTCGCAACGAAAGCGAGAACGAGAGGCAAACTTTCACCAATAAAATATTTAAATCGAATACTTTGCCAGCTAGAAGAGAGAAAGCTGGTAGGAAACATTTTCGGTAGCCTGCTTTAAAACTACAGAAGATGATCGCCTGTCCACGGCGCTTCTTACAGAGATTATCATCTTAAGGCTACCTCATCAGCGCCCTCTCCGCGCTTCCCATTCTTAGCACCTAAGAAAGGCTTAAAAGCTGTTTTTCACGAACTTCCCTTCTTCTCACTCTCTACACCTTAACTTATTCAAACTTACTCAGAAATCTATCTAACCAATAGAGTAGTGCTTACATGTGTCGAGCTCAGGAGAAAGAAAGGGACCCTGTAAGGAAAAACAAAAAGAGTTATTTTAGTAAGAAGTCAAGGTAATTTGAGATATTTTATAAATCATTTTTAAGACATACAACGATTGAAAATGTATCAAGCCCCCATTCTGTTTGTGACAACGCCAATCACCCTTCCCTGCCGTCCTTAAACCAAAACCGAATGTTTATCAAGTGTTAATCCAGTCCTTTCAGTGCGTAAGCCATTGGTAAACGAAACCAAGAACTAGGTAAACATTTCCCATTTCGGGACAATTAATCAAATATTTTTTCATTGAATTTCCACCAGAGTCAAGCTGGCGGTAGACAAATGTTGAACTAAGCCATATCACATGACCATGGCCCAGGTTATTCTGGCCCCGGGATGTGGGAGGGGGTCGGTCTCGTCCCCGGGGCGTTAATGGGCCAACTGACAGACAGGCCGAATGATGGATGACTTGACAGTGGCGGCGGAATGGGGTACCCTATATGCGAGTTATGCGTGTTCGAGTGTGAGGGCAAAAACAAGGCGCTATATATTTGCCAGATATGACGACTCCTCTCCTCCTCGCGTACGTACACCCATATATATCTCAGCTGATGCCTCTCGCTTGTCATAAATCGCATTTGTGCATTTGCATTAGATGCAGCTCGTTGGTTGCAATGAGCAACAATGTCAAACTTACTGCCGCCATCGCCATCTGCATGCAAATCTGGCCGGGATGCTATGCAAATCCTGTTTTACAGCCACGGAACTATGACTATGACTATGACTATGACTATGACTATATATATATATAGAGATGCACTGTATATGCATGCTTGGCTTAGCCAAGCCGAGGTCTGGTCCATATCTATATGGCTGTACGGCTATATGGACTCTTTGGCTACATGGCACCATCTTTGGCATTGGATTTGGCTAGGGGGACTTGGCTTTTATTTTGATTTTATGGCATACGACGGACATAAAATATGAATGGATTAACGCACGCACACACACTAGCACGTAGACATAGCAGGCGACAAATGTGTCACTTTTTAATCCTTTGACGTCCTTTAAGATGCGCTTTGTGTGCACTTTAAGCTTGAATTTGTTAGAGAATTTCTATTTTCTGATTTTAAAGATTATTTTTTAGGTTTATTAATAAAAATTCTCACATTTTCTAGCTCTAGTAGCTTAGCTGATAATAGTGAGAGGCCTAGAGAGAACGTTGACGCTTGAATCCCCAGTCCAACCCCAGCTCCTCTTTAAGTTTTGCATCCTTTGAGCAAATCTTTTGTCTCTTTGCAATGTTAGTCTTGGTATGTGTGTGTCTAAGTGTGTGTCTGGCGCTTGCTGCGCGCGTCTGCGGCTCTCGTCATTTTTGTTTATTTTATGCCACATCTCCTCGAGTGACATCATTCAATTGACATAACGATGACGGCGCGAACTTATCAACTGGCTTTAAAGGTGAAGCGATGCCTGACGCTTTTCTCAAAATGTTTTCCCTCACTTTTTCACTTTCACCATATTCCTCTACTTGTCACCTTTGCCGACGCGCGGTTTGTTTACGGGCAGACGTTGGCTATTTTCTTTTTCCACCAACACTGTTTCTTTAAAGGCGTTTTCTTTTATTTTTGGGTTAACGCCTTGAGCGGATTGTAAACAAAACCGCAGTGAGTTTTCTACGTATACATACAGTGGAACTTCTATATAAACAAATATTAAGGAATTTTTCTAAATATAATTCTTAGACCCAAAAGGAAGTTTGGATCAAAGAATCTTCTTGATATTATAACATTTTGTGCCTCAAAGTTGGCTTTGAAAATGAGTATTCACTGTACTTGCACTTTTGTGTATCCACCTGTTCTGCTCTTCTCTTTCCACTCCCCCGCTCTTTCACATTTAACTGGAAAATTTGTCCCAAGCTGCGGATTTCCATGTGCAAACTAATTGGTCCGCCCTATTACCAGGCAGTGGGAAAATGCTTTTCCGAAAGGTAAAGTTCATCAAAAACGTGACTGGCTTAAAGTGAACGCTGCGGCGCATAAATCAACAATAAATGTTGAAGAACAAAACAAAAAATGAGGGGAAAAAACCAAAACAGAAAAGCAAATTTCATACATTTTCGTTTTTCGTTTTTCTTCTTCTCTTTTTTTTTCATTTTTTGGCTGCGTTTTCTGTTTGATTTGCGGAAAACGTAAGACAGAGACGGCCGGGGGGGAGGAAACGCAGAGCGGAGGGTGAGGCGGTATAAAGAGAGGGGAAGCAGGCGAGACGAGACCCAGTTTGCAAAGTAAACAAACGGCAAATGAAATGCCGCCGCCGACGTTCGTCGACTGAAACTATTAAAAATGAAATGGGCTGTGCGGGAAAGAGAGAACAAGCCCCACAGTCCACCGCCGCCCCTGAATATCTCCCCTCTCTCTCTCCCTCTCTCTCTCTCTCTCTTCTTCCAGATGATGGACAAGGCAAAGGGACAGTGGGCAATGGGACAGTGAGCCTCACTGCCGCCGTCGGCCTTTTTGCATCTATAATGCATACGGGCGGGCATACGCAAAATGGTCGGCGAAGCAGGGAAATGGGCGTGGTTAGGTAGAGGGGGTGGAGGGGTGTTTATCTATTTACTCATATGCATATATGTACGAGTATATAGCTCAACGCACAGTACATAAAAACTGTCAAGAAAAATCTCTAGGGACTTGAAATCACTTTTTAGACCCCTAACAGTAGGCTATGATAATTTTTTCTTTCACTTACCGTCACTATCCAAATTGGTAACACAACCTTAACTAGGCAGATTTACAACTTGGAAATTAGAAAGAACAAAAATCTGTGGAAATTCCCAAGACACAGGAATAACTTTTGGGAAAAGTTAGACAAAAAGGCAAGGCGGCTCTTGAAGTTTTCACCACACAAAAACCTTAAATCTTTTGTACAAGTTTTTCGAACGCACTTTAAAGTGGTCAACTATTTTGGGGTAACTTTTCTGTTTCGAGTGTAGTTTAGTTCAGAGTGTGTGTGTTTATATATATATATATATATATATGGTATATGAGTTTCATACGTTCATATCTCCCCACAGATATGTTCATTTGCATACGCTTTGCACATTGCCAGGTTTTTCCGAGAGCGTTTCAACCAAACTTGAAGCATTATGATGACCTATATACGAGTTGAATATATGGACAGCAATAAAGAAAGTGCGTTTCAAAACAATAAGGCGGCCAGAGTTTTAATTTAATCGATTTAAGGATTACACTAGCGCAGTTATGGAAAACACTGACTAAGTAAAAAGCAAACCTTTTTGTAAGTCTTTAATATTAATAAAAACCATTCTATGAAACGCACTGTACTGGATATATTATATATGCGACAGATAACTGCACTTGACGCACTGCAATAACTTGGCTAAAAGAGCGCAATGAGCCAGTCTGTGTCTGTGTGTGTGTGTGTGTTCATGAAATATGCAAATGACACAAAATCGCTAGCACTTTGCAATCGCATTGTGGCATTAAGCTACCTGCCACATATTTCTTCACATACTTGCCACTTTAAAGGCCACTGATTGCTCCAATCGATCGATTGATAGGAAAAATGGATTCAAATGGGTGTTCCCCCAAGTGCAAGGTTAACACTCTGGACATGATTGATGGCGGCCAAAGTGAAAATGGCAATGGAAAACCCCTTTTAAGTGGCGATAAATGAGTGGGAATTTGTCTGGGAATCCATGTAAATGCCAGGTCATAAGTCAAGCCCCCCTGCTGTCCATTGTGTGTAGTCGAGAAAGTCCTTTCTAGAGAGTCTAGAGCAATTACCATTCTGGGGACATCTTTTAATTTGACCCGGCCGCCCCGCCCTCTCTATCTCTCTCACTCTCTCTAATCCTATATAGAAAGTAGCCAACCCCAACCCACCTTCTTCCCACTGGGTAAACATCAGACGAATGCTTTGTGTCCGGCGTTTGCCTAATTTGTTTTTCTTTCCAGTTTAATTTGAAACCTGGACAACAACGTCTTAGCCTTGTTTTTCTTTTTTTTTTTTTGCTTTTTGGTTGGTTTTTTTTTTGGTCTTTCAATGTTTCGGTCTTGGCCGACGCAACAGTTTGCTTAGTGCAAAGACCAAAAGCAAATTTTCCTTTCAGTTTTCCCCGAGTGGAGAAGCAGGGGAAAGGGCTGGATGGATGGAGTGGAAAATGCTGGCGCTGCGTGCTTGGAAAATGTGTTTATTTAGGATAACTTAACTGATTGTTGTTCCTCGGCTCTCTCGTGCCCATTCTTCTCGCCAACTTGCTTGTTGTTCTTGGCCAGTTGACAATTGGCCCCAGAGAAAAGCGTTGAGGGAAAAGTGTGGGCGGACGAGTAGATGGGCGGACCAGAAAGTGGGCGGCTGGCAGGACAATGGACACTCGAAGGCGCGCCACGTGCACACAAAGCGCATTGTGGGGAAAAACCAGCAAAGCAGAGGAACAAAAAGAAACAAGTTGGTAGTTGGAAAATGTAGCTTTTCCGAGTTTCGAGACTAAATAGATACCTGATACTAAATGGAAACTGCAACAGAAAAAAAAAACAAAAAAGCAACAGCTATTGTTTTCCAATTTCTGGTGGTCTTAAAAATTGGATTTTGGTTTTTAGCTGGAAAACTTCTATTAAAAGCAAAATTTATCATAAAAATTGGGAAAAAATTTCAATTAAACTGATAAAAAGTTACCTTTAGCTATAGATATATATATATATATTTTTAAGTTTCTATAGCTTAAGATAATGGATATACCCCACCGATCTGCCTTCGTTGGCCACTAAAAAGTAAAACAAAGTACAGCCAGCCAAACGGCAATGACGAACGCGGGCGGGGGGGAAAAACGTATCCGCGACCTCCGCTGGAAAAATTCACAGCCAGCTGACCCACAATTTCCGCCGCTCGCCCCCGTTCCCAACCACTTTCCCACTACCCTTCTGCCACCCCCTCCCCATCATCCACATACACTTTGTTTTGTTATTATGCTGCCGTTCTGTAATAAGCAGTAAATACGCTGAGAGC